TACAACTCCCATAACAACCCTGGGGTGAGGGGTCGAAATTTGAATTTTCACGAAAAGTCGATTACGGTGTCTAAACCTACGTTTTTGGGTCGCTGAAACCAAAAAAGACTACCAAAATCAAATCCTTTCCACCTCCGACTCCCTACAACCCCCTGCAATAATTTTTTTCAAATAAAACGAACCGATATTTGGGAAATTGAAAATTAAATATTAATTATCAAAAATTATTGCAGGGGGTTGTAGGGGGTCGAGGGTGGAAAGGATTTGATTTTGGTAGTCTTTTTTAGTTTCAGCGACCCAAAAAACGTAGGTTTAGACACCGTAATCGACTTTTCGTGAAAATTCGAATTTCGACCCCCCACCTTTCGGGTGTTAAGGGGATTGTAAGGGATTAAGGGAGGGAAGAATTTGTTTTTGGTAGTCTTTTTTGGTTTTAGCGACCCAAAAAACATAGGAATAGACACCCTACTCCACTTCTTTTTAAACTGAAATTCCAACCCCCGGGAGCAGGTGTAAGGGGGTGGTAGCGGGAAAATGGCCGATGAGAAAAATTTTTCATGGTCATATTCGGTTTCAGCGACCCCAAAAACATGGGGATAGGGGGGTGTGACCTCTGGGGTTTGACTTTTTTTTTTTTTTGTGTGCCTGTGTAATTAATTTTAAAAAAACGTTAGGAAAACAAAGAGGTATTACCGGTAAGAGGCTCAAATAATAAGCCTAAGTGTTACTGATTCAGCCAATAATGAAAGACAGTTTTAAAAATTAAATGTTATAACGGAAAAGTTAATTTTGATCTATTTGAATGATCTTGTAATTATATTATGCTAAAAACACATTTACAAAAAAGTAACGACAGTCAACTATTAAAACAATTTGATTATAAAATGACAGTTTTAAAAACTCAACAACGAAAGACACAAACAAGTACGAATGGAGAACTAAAAATTGATTTCACAGAACATCAGAACCGAAGTGTAAATATGTTAAATCAAATCATTATTCCGCCAATGCCTAATAATATTTTCACCTTGGTAGAAAAATATAATTCACCTAATTATTTCTTCAACCATAAGAAAGTCCGATTATAAATGCAGCAATAATTATAACGATATGTCTCGACAATATTATTTATTATTTCGATAATAAAAAAAAAATAATAATAAACGATTAGTTTGTCCTAAAGTAATCACAAGATTGATTTAAAAATATAAATACACGAATTTATGTTCTCAAAGAAACAGTAATCATTTCGACTGTTATTTTAGACAGGTTTTTCGATTTATTTAAACGATATTTATATGAATAGTTTTAATCCTAAAACGAATGAATTGTTTGCTTCAAACTTATATATACAAAACTTTATAGGTTTAACACTTCAGATACTTCGTATTGTTTTTGACACTACTGTAGATCACAATAAAAAGCGAATCAAAATAACGAAATTCTCAAAAATAAGTGAAAGCCGAAATAACGATTGTACAACAAATGACTTGATGAAAACAACTGAAAAATATATTAATACTCTAAAAATGACATTTTTACCAAATTTTACAAAAGGACAATGATAAAATGGTTAACGAAAGTTTCCAAAATGTCAGCAATTGCAAAAGTTCAAATTTTTACATCACAATAATAAAGCGAAAATTAACGAACGTAAGTAAACAATATTCTAGATGAATTCAAATTATTCTCATAACGATTTTGTTAAAACAAATAAAGCTATATTGTAGCGTATACAAACTGATTAAGTGACTATTGGTTATTTACGAAAGTTAGAGGAATATAATAGAAATAAAATAAAAGCCTAAAATCTAAATAATTTTTGACGACAGTCTTTTAAATTGTAATATATATATGTATATATGTATATATATATATATATATATATATATATATTGGGGCATTCTTTCTGAACGGGAGACCCCTATCCATCCAAAAATAAATTTGACCTAGAGAGTTATATTTGGTATTAAAATTTAGCTCTTTGTGTCTACTTTTGAATGCAAAGTGGCCAAACACGAAATTCAAGATGGCTGACATAATATGGCTGAAAATGTAATTAGAATTCATAAAATTCATTTTAAATTCCTATGCCAAAAAGATTTATTTTGACGGAAAAAGTTGTACGAGGTCTCAAAATTTAGCTGTTAATGTCTACTTCAAAATACAAAATGAAAAATTAAAATATTCAAGATGGCGGCCACAATATAGCGGCTAATTTTTTAAAATTGCTTAAATTCACTCAAAACTTATTACTCGGGGGTTTTTTTGGTCGCTGATTACGAATCTTTAGTTAGTTTTCAAAAAATGCAATATGGAGGATCCAATATGGTAGACGAATTTCTGAAAAAACTCACGAATTCGCAAAAAAACTCATAATTCGAAAGTTTTTTAGGTCGCTGATCACGAATCTGCTCATTAATATCAAACACTAAAAACAGCGGATCTAATATGGATAGTTAAGTTCAGGTTTGTTAAGACAAGACTAGTTTTGGGCCAATAAGCTAAGGTAAATTAGGATCAGTGTCCAGGCAGTCAAATCAAGACTAGTATGGGTCCAACCAGCCAAGGTAAGACAAGGTCAGTGCCTAGGCAGTCAAGTCAATTCTAGTTTAGGTCCAACCAGCCAAGGTTAGACAAGATCAGTGCCCAGGCAGTCAAGCCAAGACTAGTTTAGGTTCAACCAGCCAAGGTGAGACAAGATCAGTGCCCAGGCAGTCAAGCCAAGACTAGTTTAGGTCCAACAAGCCAAGGTTAGACAAGATCAATGACCAGGCAGTCGAGACGAGACTAGTTTTGGGCCAATCAGCTAAGGTAAGACAAGATTAGTGCCCAGACAGTCAAGCCAAGGCCGGTTTAGGTCCAACCAGCCAAGGTTAGACAAGATCAGTGCCCAGGCAGTCAAGCCAAAACTAGTTTAGGTTCAACCAGCTAAGGTAAAACAAGATTAGTGCCCAGACAGTCAAGCGAAGACTAGTTTAGGTCCAACTAGCCAAGGTTAGACAAGATCAGTGACCAGGCAGTCAAGCCAAGACTAGTTTTAGTCCAAGCAGCCGAGGTGAGACAAGATCAGTGCCCAGGCAGTCAAATCAAGACTAGTATGGGTCCAACCAGCTAAGGTAAGACAAGGTCAGTGCCTAGACAGTCAAGTCAATTTTAGTTTAAGTCCAACCAGATAAGATAAGACAAGATCAGTGCACAGGCAGTCAAGCCAAGACTAGTTTAGGTCCAACCAGCCAAGGTTAGACAAGATCAGTGCCCAGCCAGTCAAGCCAAGACTAGTTCAGGTCCAATCAGCCAAGGTAAGACAAGATCAGTGCCCAGACAGTCAAGCCAAGACTGGTTTAGGTCCAACCAGCCAAGGTTAGACAAGATCAGTGCCCAGGCAGTCAAGCCAAGACTAGTTTAGGAACAACCAGCCAAGGTTAGACAAGATCAGTGCCCAGGCAGTCAAGCCAAGACTAGTTTAGGAACAACCAGCTAAGGTTAGACAAGATCAGTGCCCAGGCAGTCAAGCCAAGACTAGTTTAGGAACAACCAGCCAAGGTTAGACAAGATCAGTGCCCAGGCAGTCAAGCCAAGACTAGTTCAGGTCCAATCAGCTAAGGTAAGACAAGATTAGTGCCCAGACAGTCAAGCCAAGACTGGTTTAGGTCCAACCAGCCAAGGTTAGACAAGATCAGTGCCCAGGCAGTCAAGCCAAGACTAGTTTAGGAACAACCAGCCAAGGTTAGACAAGATCAGTGCGCAGGCAGTCAAGCCAAGACTAGTTCAGGTCCAATCAGCCAAGGTTAGACAAGATCATTGCCCAGGCAGCCAAGTTTGTCAAGCCAATTTGATACCCATCAAAAAATGAAAAAATGGCTTGACTGCCTGATCACTGATCTTGTCTAACCTTGGCTGGTTGGACCTAAACTAGTCTTGGCTTGACTGCCTGGGCACTGATCTTGTCTCACCTCGGCTGGTTGGACCTAAACTAGTTTTGGCTTGACTGCCTGGGTACTGATCTTGTCTAACCTTGGCTGGTTGGACCTAAACCAGTCTTGGCTTGACTGTCTGGGCACTAATCTTGTCTTACCTTAGCTGATTGGCCCAAAACTAGTCTTGTCTCGACTTCCTGGTCACTGATCTTGTCTAACCTTGGCTTGTTGGACCTAAACTAGTCTTGGCTTGACTGCCTGGGCACTGATCTTGTCTCACCTTGGCTGGTTGAACCTAAACTAGTCTTGGCTTGACTGCCTGGGCTCTGATCTTGTCTAACCTTGGCTGGTTGGACCTAAACTAGAATTGACTTTACTGCCTAGGCACTGACCTTGTCTTACCTTGGCTGGTTGGACCCATACTAGTCTTGATTTGACTGCCTGGACACTGATCTTAATTTACCTTAGCTTATTGGCCCGAAACTAGTCTTGTCTTAACAAACCTGAACTTAACTATCCATATTAGATCCGCTGTTTTTAGTGTTTGATATTAATGAGCAGATTCGTGATCAGCGACCTAAAAAACTTTCGAATTACGAGTTTTTTTGCGAATTCGTGAGTTTTTTCAGAAATTCGTCTACCATATTGGATCTTCCATATTGCATTTTTTGAAAACTAACTAAAGATTCGTAATCAGCGACCAAAAAAACCCCCGAGTAATAAGTTTTGAGTGAATTTAAGCAATTTTAAAAAATTAGCCGCTATATTGTGGCCCCCATCTTGAATATTTTAATTTTTCATTTTGTATTTTGAAGTCGACATTAACAGCTAAATTTTGAGACCTCGTACAACTTTTTCCGTCAAAATAAATCTTTTTGGCATAGGAATTTAAAATAAATTTTATGAATTCTAATTACATTTTCAGCCATATTATGTCAGCCATCTTGAATTTCGTGTTTGGCCACTTTGCATTCAAAAGTAGACACAAAGAGCTAAATTTTAATACCAAATATAACTCTCTAGGTCAAATTTATTTTTGGATGGATAGGGGTCTCCTGTTCAGAAAGAATGCCCTATATATATATATATATATATATTGTGACGATGTAAATTTTCACTTGTCAAATTCTTGTCGAAAATTCTGAATCGTCGCGCCATCCGTCGGAAAAAGCCCCGAATCAACAGGCCCAGTGATCAATGGTAATTAGAGAAAACCAGTACCGCCGGCTGACCTACTAGAAGTAGCGAAAGTGGGTCGCGCGGCTGGCTACCGGAGAAAGTGATAGATGGCGGGGCCAGTACTATTTTCAGAGAACGAGAAGAAGAAGAGGAGCCATGTGAGGAAAATTCGAGACGCTACAGGTGTCGAATGCTTTCGCCACCATTGTGGAAAAATTGTCTTGCCGCGCCGGTATACAAATCCTTCGCAGTTGACACAATTTTGATCGTTGTTTTTTTTGTTTGAGAGAAACCTTGTTGTTCGAGCCGTAACTTTCGAGTGTTGAGAGTGGAACGTGAAGTTCAAATATTTTATTACAAATAAATACTAAAGTTTATAGTGAAAATAAGTTGAGATTTCTTGTGTTTTCCTTCCCAAAGTCCCCTCACGGATTACCATCGGACGTCAGTGAGACCAAGGAAACGAGACCAGGAAACTCAACTGGAGTAACAAATTGAGCCGAGTCGTCGTGGGTAAGTCGTTTACCAGTCTTGTGCCAGTCGTGTCTCGCCGTTGGTATTTTCTGCTTGCCAATCGTTCGAGCAGAATTTCCTCTGGGTGAGAGAGTAAATTCGGAGGAGTTGTTTTGTCATTAGTCGAGTAAAAGTTTATTAATTATCTTTAAAAATTAATTGGCGCCTGACGGCGAAATTTATTAAATTAAATTTCTCAAATTATTATTGTTGAAAGCGTCAGATTTTGCCTGACGTAAGCAGAACTTTTAGCTTAAAATTAAATGAGTTAAAATTTATACGTCACAAAATTTGGCGCCCAACGTGGGGCCAGGCTCGAACCGAGACACGACTAAAATTTATTGATTGCCAGAACATTTTCTTTGTGTATTATTATAATTATATTGCCAGAGTTTTGAATTTTCAAAATTTACATAGTCAGGCAAGATTAGTTGTTCTTGTCAAGAAAATTCAAAATTTCCATTTGCCAAATTGTTTATTAATTTATTTTGCTAAGGCTCAAAATTTATTCAGTCATAATTTATGAGTAAATTATTGCCAAAAATCGTACAAATTAAAATTGTAGAGTGCCTTTGCCATGTAATTTGAAGAATTTCCTTTTTCTTTTGAGACCATAAAAATTTCCTGCCGCGATAAAAATTAAACTCAACAATTAAAATTTTTTTTTGTTTGTCGAAAGCCAGTTTTGTGAGAAAATTCCGAGTAAAATTCCCCAAAAACTTGTGCAAAATCAAAAATTTTCCCCAAAATTTTATGCCGAGCACATGTTAGACCGGAAATAAAATTCGAATTAGTCACGTGACTGTAAATAGTGCGCCGGACGTTCGAGAGAAACGACGCGCCGGGATATTTAAAAATTTCGACAGCCGAGAGAAAGTTGCGCGCGCCAGGAAAGAGTGGCCCAGTAGTAGTAGTAATAGCGGCTACACACCAGAGAGAGAACGAGAAGAAGAGACAGAAAGAAAGTCGAGTCACCAGTCTGCCAGAAAAAGAAAAATTTAAAAGGGGGCCCTCCTTGAGTAGGTACGTCGTTGCTTTCAAGACAGCACAGGGCCGTGTATACTAATTGTGCACCCCCCTAAAAATTTAAAATTTTCGAACTTAGAAAATTTCTTTGATTTTTTTTTTGGCAAAGGCAATCAGCGAGATGGGGGACTACAAGAGGCGCATGCGCGAGTTAATTAAAATTCCACGCGTTAGCCAAGCATGGGAAATAATTAGCGCCATGCAAGTAGGACAAGTCGTGACGAGCCTACTGAGACACCAACTGTGTATCAGTGGAACGTCGCAAGTCTTAAGAGAGAGACTGTTGAGGGCCGAGATGAGATTAGCCCTAAGTGAGGAAGTCGATGTGCCATTTAGCGACCGGTATGACCTTGGAAATTCCGATAAAATCTTTTTATTGGAAGCCTTCCCAGAGCCAGAATCTAGCCCGTTTCGTTTTGTTACGCGACAAAGGGGTGGCCAGTTGTCATCGGGGGATAATGATGAATCCGACAGTGGGGCGAGCCAGATTTTTGAGCGGATTTGTGACAGGAAAACTCTCGGGAGTGGGGGAAGTAAATCGGAAATTGGAACACCGTACAGTAGACCTAGTCCGACCAACGTTATGTCCACACCAAATTACACACCCCCACCACCAGTCATGTCAACAGCCAGTATGACGACAGTTTCTCCCACCACTACCAGTGCTCAATTAAGTATGACAACAAGCACTGTCATGACATCGCCGCACACCATCACCTCAGCCACAATGGCTCCGAATGTCCAGAGCCTTCGAGATTCAGTTGCGCGTTTAGGTTTGTCGCCAGAAATAAGGAAGATTATGGAGTACGCCGAGAAAATGGATCGTCAGTATTCTATGGGAGTGTGGGAGTTACAGCAAAGCCAATGTAGGGCCGAGATTGCGGATGGGTACCAATTGACCCACCACCAACAATCGCGCATAGTTTCCCCACATGCCAAAACTCCAGTAGCCGAGACCTCGCACTCACATCATACTAATGATAGAGTGAGGCCCACACCCGCCCCTAGAAGCCAGTCAAGCCGACGTAGTGTGAATGAAGACAGTGTAACTCAACAAAGAGTGCCACGAAATGGAGAGCTGGTAGTGAAGAGAGCCGTGTAAATAGTAGATGTAGTTGTAGCAGTAAGGACAATGAACAACCGGACAGGAAAAACCGCAGAAAAGCGGATAAAGGAAGTAGAGTAGGAAGAAGAGTGGGGGAGAGCCGAAGATCGTTCTTAGATGACTCTACGAGTGAGTCCGAAGCCGAGAGCGATCTAAGTCAGAGGTTAAGTAGTAGTGGGGAAAATGTAGAGCCGAATTTAATGAGCCGAGTATAGTAGAGATGAGAGCCGAGATTTTTGAGCCATGTAGGGTAGAAAGAAATAACGAGTGTAGAGACAAATTCGCGCCTAGTTGTAGTTGGGTAAAAACTGAGCGAGAATTAGAATTAGAGAGAGGAGAAGAAGTGGAGAAAAACTTAGAGCCAGTCATAGGTAAGGACGACCTAACAGAGGACAAAGCGTTCAAATTTATGCCAGAAATTAAACAAGAGCGGTCGAGTGAGGAGAGCTTACTCTACCGAAACGAAACAGAGAAAATGGCCGAAGAGTGTGGGACAAAAGGTACGGATGTGATCCCGGTACCTATAGTCCAGGGGAGGGGAGAGGCTGTGAGAGTCACAGCTGACCCGAACTTAAGTAATGAAGAGGACATCGACGGATCTAGAACGGAGAACAGATACTTCTTCGACATGACTATCGGCGACCAACATTACGAGGCACTCTTCGATCCTGGTGCTATGATTTCAGTAATTAACATCAGAGTCGCAGAGCCATTTAAAAGCCGAATTAAGCCATGTGGTACAGTTGTAAGAAGTGCAACAGGAGGTATCACAGAAACAGCCGGTATCCTGGACCTTAACATAGTGGTCGACGGTTACGCACAAGGATTCGCAGTCAAAGTAATGAGTACTTTGACTCAGGACATCATCTTGGGCATCGACTTCTGTAAGGCCTGGGACATGGAAGTGAAGCTTAAAGAAGGACTGTGGAGAGTTTTTAGAGGAGAATGGCATGAGTTTGGGCCAAAAGAGAGAGAAGAGGACGAACAACTAATATTCGCCGAATGCGCCGGTATTTCCGCACTCGATGACGAACAAAAGAGTATCATTCAAGCCCTAGTAGACAAATGGGTATTGCCAGAGTCAGAAGAACACGGAATGACAGACTTGACGGAACATCATATACGTGTTACGGACGAAACGCCAGTACAACATGGCATCAGACGGATGTCGCCAGCCATGTTAACCTGGGCCCAAGGTAATGCTGCCAAACTGTACAAGCTAGGGATCATCGAGCCATCTGCCAGCCGTTGGAGGAGCGCGCCAATAATAACGAGAAGAGGAGAGAACGACTTTCGACAGTGTAATGACTACAGAGATGTCAACAAAGTTACGATCAAAGATGGGTATCCACTGCCATCCATTGATTATATTTTGGATAAGCTCCGAAAAGCCAGATATTTGTCGAAGGTAGATCTCAAACTGGCATATCACCAAATACCAATGGCCGAAGAGAGTAAGAAATATACCGCTTTTGCCATACCTGGGTCAGGACTGTGGCAGTTTCGCCGGATGCCTTTTGGACTTATGAACGCGCCGATGACGTTTCAACGTCTAATCGACGCATTACTGGGGCCGAAAGTAGAGCCGCATGTCTTCGGTTATCTGGACGACATAATAGTAGTCACAGACACTTTCGAAGAACATGCTAAGTGGTTGGAGTTCGTCCTCAAGAAATTGAACATGGCGAAATTGATAGTGAATCCAGATAAGTGTGAGTTCGGGTGTTCCGAAGTGACTTATCTGGGTTACTTATTGGACAGAGAAGGTTTGAGGCCAGACCCGAATAAGACAGAGCCGGTGAGAAACTATCCAGAGCCGAAGAACGTGAGACAACTTAGACGTTTCTTGGGCATGGTCGGGTGGTATTCTCGTTTTATCCCAAACGACAGTGAAATCAAATTACCACTGTTGAAGTTGCTACATAAGGGCCGGACGTGGGAGTGGGAGGACGAGCAACAAGAAGCGTTTGAACAGCTTAAACAGAAGCTGACATCTGCGCCAGTCTTAGCCCGACCTGACTTCACGAAGAAGTTCACAATTCAGTGTGACGCCAGCAACTATGCCATTGGAGCCGTACTGACGCAAGAGTTTGAAGACGGAGAGCATCCAATAGTTTACATCAGCCGAGTCTTGACGGAGCCAGAGAGAAACTACAGTGTGACAGAAAAAGAGTGTCTGTCATTATTGTGGTCGATCAAGAAGTTCAGGCCGTACATTGAAGGGTACAAATTCCATGTGATTACGGATCACAGTGCCCTAAAATGGCTCAGGAACCTAAAAGATCCTACAGGCCGTTTAGCCAGATGGGCCTTGGAAATGCAGCAATGGGACTTCGACATAGTTCACAGACGAGGTGCACAACATCATGTCCCTGATGCATTGTCCAGGCTTCAAGAAGACGAAGAAGAGTTAGTAGCCGCGTTTGAATCCATTGAGGATCAGTGGTACCTCAAACGCCGAGAGTTAGTGAGCCAGCATCCTCAGAGGTTTCCAGGGTGGATCGTCGAGAACGAAAACCTATATCGTCATAGAAGTGACCCACTTTTATTGCCGATAAACGGAGATGAAGACGGTTGGAAGCTGGTTGTGCCAAAAGAATATCGAGCGAGAGTTATGGAAGACGGACATGCCCAAGCATCAGCCGGACACTTGGGGATTGAGAAAACTTATGATCGGATAGCACGAGAGTACTACTGGCCAGGTATTTGGAACGATGTGCACAATTATGTGACACACTGTCTTCAATGCCAAATACATAAAGTATCTCAAGCCGGACCAGTCGGACTGATGGGCCAAAGAATTGTCGAGAGGCCCTGGGCCGTAGTAGCCGCAGATACAATGGAGTTTCCACCAAGTAAGAGTCATTGTAAGTACTTGGTGGTGTTCCAGGACTTGTTCTCGAGGTGGATAGAGGTGAAGCCACTGAGGTCAGCGGATGGTAAGTCGGTAGCCAGAGCATTCGAGGAGTTGGTCCTATTTAGATGGGAAACGCCAGAGTACTTGCTAACCGACAACGGCAAGGAATTTGACAACAAACTACTCAAGTCAGTACTTGAGGAATATGGAGTCAAACACATCACGACCCCTCCTTACCATCCACAAGCCAACCCAGTCGAACGAAGCAACAGGACTCTTAAAACGATGATCTCCACCTTCATTGGTGCTGATCATAGGAATTGGGATATTCATGTGCATGAGTTCCGTCATGCGGTGAACACAGCGACACAGGCGGCGACCAAAACGTCTCCTGCGTTCCTGAATTATGGAAGACATCCAAAGCCAGTAAAGAGCCTGCGAAGAGAAATAGAGAACAAGAGAGAAATAGTTAGGATAGAGCCGGCGGATTGGGTAGACCGAATAAAGAGATTAGACGCGTTAAGAGACATAGTAGCCAGACATATTGATAAAGAACGGGCGAGACAAACTAAGTATTATGATAAAGGTAGGAGAGACATAACTTTCAAAGTAGGAGATTTAGTGTTGCGAAAAAGTCATAAATTGTCCAGTGGGGCACAAAAGTTCGCGACTAAATTGGCACCGAAATACGAAGGTCCATATGAGATCATTGAGGTCTTATCGCCAACTGTTTTCATCTTACGAGACGAACAGAGCCGCCGAGTACCTAAAGTCCACATAACCGACCTGAAACCATACTTACCTAACCCACCGTTGTAAATCACTATTGTTCTTGTTGTACATTAACCATATTGTTTTAGATCGAACGAAGAGCCGAGTAGAGAGGAGGAGTATCGAGAGAAAGAAGAAGAAAAGAGCCATGCCGTACACCCCACCGGGAAGCCGACGAGCCAGAGAAAGAGGTGGTCGCCAGCCCGAGGAACTAGGACGTGAAAGAGCCAGGATGGAGAGACGTGGACGCCCACAGTCAAGGCATCAACCGTTCCCAGAATTCGACATAGGGGATGTGGTGAGAGAACGCCCATCATACTTGTCGTTCCCCATAATAGAACGGGTAACAGAAGAGCCGCTGAGAGCCCAAACAACTTCACCTGAAGAGGAGCCGAAAGCAAGAGGCAATGGAGAAGAAGAAGGGGCCGTTGGAGGGAAATTCGAGCCGGTTACCGACCCGAATGATTGGGCCGAACTAAGTGGCCTAGAGAACTTAGTGAAACCAAGAGCCGTGAAAGGAGGTAGGCCCGATGGTGCAGAGGTAGTAGTGCCCTATCGCTGGCCCGCCGACAGGAAAGTAGGAGAAAGCATGGAGGAATACGAGAGCCGCCTTGCCGAATTTGAACTGGAACGGTTCGTACAGAACCTGGAGCCACTAACATCAGTGGCCCTAGAGAAAATTCGAGCCAAGCAACGTAGAGAAAGAGAAAGACGCAAACAACACGTAATGAGGAAAGAGGACATCGAGAGCCAGGAACCGGCGAAACGAGCCCAAAGATCGCACTCACCACACCCAGGTACACCAGTACGACGAGTAGAAGGGACTGGCGCCAGACCGAAGGAATACCCAGGAACGAGCGAGAGAAGAAGAGACCCTGAAGAGAAACACGCCTGGAGGACTAGGAAGACTGGTGTGATTTTTGGGGGACTCAAAGAGATCCCAACGTCCGAAGAACTAGACCCACCACCATACAGTTGCTTTAACTGTTGGCAAAGGGGACACCGGGCAGTGGATTGTCCAGAACCGGTAACGTGCAACTTTTGCAGTAATTGCGGGCGCAGGTACACCACCGTCAAGAATTGCCCAAGATGTGCAGAGGCGTACCGTCGCCACGCAGGTATCGTGTGGTATAGAGAGAACGACATGGAAGATCACGTTCCAGTGTTGGAGACCAGAGAAGCGGAAGAAAGAAACGAGTCGTATAGCGAGATCTCATCGGAGTCAGATTACCACGATGGAGCCGAAGGAGAAATAGAGGCAGAAGTACCAACCAACGAGATGGAAATCCCCGAGCCAGAACCAATTGTAGACCAGGTAGCCAGCGGTGCCCAACCAAGCGCCGAAGTGGAGGAGGAAGAAGAGGACTTGGTGGAGAAAATCCTCCAACTAACGAAAGCGTTGGCAGGACTCCCAGCGTCAACAATTGACTTGGCAGTTCGACAGTTGTTGGATGAGAGGAGACAGAAGAAAGAATTAACTAAAGAATCGAAGAGCCAGAGAGAGTAGAAGAGCCAGAAAGAGTAGCAGAGCCAGAGAGAGTAATAGAGCCAGAGAGAGGAAGAGCCAGACAAAATAAGAGAGCCAGATAAAGAGGAAGAGCCAGGAAGAGTAGGAGAGCCATCAGCAGTACTATAATCATCATAAGGATGACGGTCCTATATAAAATAGTACCGGTCATGGGGAGGGGATTGTGACGATGTAAATTTTCACTTGTCAAATTCTTGTCGAAAATTCTGAATCGTCGCGCCATCCGTCGGAAAAAGCCCCGAATCAACAGGCCCAGTGATCAATGGTAATTAGAGAAAACCAGTACCGCCGGCTGACCTACTAGAAGTAGCGAAAGTGGGTCGCGCGGCTGGCTACCGGAGAAAGTGATAGATGGCGGGGCCAGTACTATTTTCAGAGAACGAGAAGAAGAAGAGGAGCCATGTGAGGAAAATTCGAGACGCTACAGGTGTCGAATGCTTTCGCCACCATTGTGGAAAAATTGTCTTGCCGCGCCGGTATACAAATCCTTCGCAGTTGACACAATTTTGATCGTTGTTTTTTTTGTTTGAGAGAAACCTTGTTGTTCGAGCCGTAACTTTCGAGTGTTGAGAGTGGAACGTGAAGTTCAAATATTTTATTACAAATAAATACTAAAGTTTATAGTGAAAATAAGTTGAGATTTCTTGTGTTTTCCTTCCCAAAGTCCCCTCACGGATTACCATCGGACGTCAGTGAGACCAAGGAAACGAGACCAGGAAACTCAACTGGAGTAACAAATTGAGCCGAGTCGTCGTGGGTAAGTCGTTTACCAGTCTTGTGCCAGTCGTGTCTCGCCGTTGGTATTTTCTGCTTGCCAATCGTTCGAGCAGAATTTCCTCTGGGTGAGAGAGTAAATTCGGAGGAGTTGTTTTGTCATTAGTCGAGTAAAAGTTTATTAATTATCTTTAAAAATTAATTGGCGCCTGACGGCGAAATTTATTAAATTAAATTTCTCAAATTATTATTGTTGAAAGCGTCAGATTTTGCCTGACGTAAGCAGAACTTTTAGCTTAAAATTAAATGAGTTAAAATTAATACGTCACAATATATATATATATATATATATATGTGTGTGTATTTATATATGTAAGAATTTATACGAAAAAGTTTTTACAATGCAAAAATATATACGACAGTTTGATAATTTTGATATTTCTTGACAAATAGAATCCCAGAAAGATTTAACCAAATTATACGATAAATAAATTAACTTTCGAATTTCTCTAAGTACATTTATAATAAACGATTATTTTAACGAAATGAAATTAAACGATTCAAATGTTTAGATTATTTGTCAATAAAAAAAAAGAGTTCATAGTAAGAGATGATGTAATAAATACTTAAAGCAGAACAATTACAGAAACAAATTTGTCTTTAAACGACTGGTTCATTAAAATAAAAATTGATAAGACAGTGAATTTTTAGAAAAACAATGATGAATTATTAAAAACGGAGGGAGATAAAATAAAGAACGGTTTAGTTAACCTTAAAAACGGAGGGAGATAAAATAAAGAACAGTTTACTAAACTTTGAAAACTATTATTAAAAACGGAGGGAGATGAATTGAACAATAGTATAAATAAATCCTTAATATGAAACGAGTAGATATGCAAATTAGGTAAAGAGAGACAGTCTCATGTTACTTATCCTCGAAAGAGAAAGAAAGCAATAGCGTTAGATTTTCTGCGTTATAAACAGAGACCGATTTATGTTATTTCTATTTAGAAAGTGGAAGAAAGCAATAGCGTTAGATTTTCTGCGTTATAAACAGGGACCGATTTATGTTATTTATTTGGAAAAAGAAGACAGAAAGATATTTAAAAGATATATATATATATATAAAATTTAAAGAGAAACGAAAGGCCTGCTCGAGTACCTAGCCTATTGTTTGTAGGGTTTCTTTCAACCAGTAGGCAGTCTATTAAGTGACCAGTGAGCAGAGAGAGAGAGAGAGAGAGAGTGTTGCATTGGTAGTCTATTTTATACTTGAGTATACATATATATACTGTAAAAAATTTAGGGAGTTAACGGACTCGGGAGTTTGGAGTGAAATTTTTCGAGTTAAAAATCAACTCCAAAAGAAAGTTAAATTCTAACTCCCTTCATTCAAGACCCGCGCGAGTTATTTTTTCATTGGGGAGTTAGCATTTGGATGTGAAGTTTTAACTCTCTTTATTTAACTCCCCTGGCATTAACTCCCCAATGGGTGCGACTTTTATAGAATCCCCTGGGAAGTTAAAATTTAACTCTCTTTTTTTACAGTGTAGTTACAGTTTATTAACAGATTTTTGCAGTATATAATACAGAAAAATAAAAGTGCAATGTGAAGAACACTTTTTCTCTCTTTTCAAAATTAAATAAAATAAGACAAAAAAAATTTTTGTGATTAAAAATAAGGATATGGAGGTAAGTTTTTAAAAATTGTGTAAAATACTACTTTTTAATAATGATATAAAATGATTTTTCTTTTTTGTAATTAAGAAATGCAAGTAATAAATTAACAACTTTCCCGTCTAAGTCACTAACATTATATATTTTTTCAACAATTAAACTTGTAAAGAAATTTAAATAACTTTCTAGAATCATTTTAAAAATGCTTGATCTCGTCCTTGAGTTTGCCTTGGTTTATTTAAAAATTAATATAATTTCAGAAATACTTTACATGGTTTAATATTTTTTTAATAAATTTTAAACAAGTACCCAGTTTTTTATTATAAAAAAGTTTATGTTTTAAACAAAAAAAGAATATTTTTTATTTCAATTCAAAATTAGAGTCTTGAAGGTAATAAAAAGGTGCCATAATAATAAGGTGCCAGTTTCAGAATCATGTTTTTGACTTATTTTGAAAGTAATTTTGATTAGTGATTTTTAACTTTAAATTCTTAAAAATTGGTAAAAATTTAAAGCTTAGAGTGACCATCTGTACTGTTAATTTCAAAGTATTTTTATAATAGTATTTAATGTTAAAATACTTAAATAAAACTAAAAATTACTTAAGGGGGGAAACCACATTAGACGTCTGAAAAAATCGATTTTTTCTGTTTTGCATAAATTGTTCGTTAAGGTATTCAAAAATAGGCTGACAAAGTTTTTAAAGCAAAATTCGAAGTCCTAGCTGTACTAGCGATGAACGGAGCGCGCTCTATGTTACCGTAGATTAGTAGAATAAGCGTAGCATTTTTGAGACTAAGGAGAGCAGAAAGTCACGAAAAGAGGAATTATTAGACTTAGATGCTACTTATGAAGCACATGAAAGGATATATGAGGCATTTTACGTGAAATGTCCTAAGTTGAAATTTCAACTTCTTGAAAAAAATTGAAACTCAAAGAATTTGTTGTTCTATCAAGTAGAAATGTGACCCAAAAAATATTTTTGATTTTTTCGAAAAATTGGAGGGGGTAGAGGGGGGTCAATTTGACCAATTTTGCCAACACCGGCTACTTTGTGAATTTTTTCTGAACATACTTGTAATGGGAAAAATTTTTTAGAATATGTTTCTGAAAGGTTTTTTCGTCCTCTTTCCTTGGTGTATTTTATTTTTTAATATTTTAAAAATTTACCCTAATTTTTGATAATTAATAATTAATTTTCAATTTCCCAAAAATCAGTCCGTTTTTTTGAAAATAAATTATTGCAAACGAAAGCTGAGGTTTTTTCCTATCGGCATGTAAATTTTCAGAATGCCCTTTTTTTGTTTTTGAGTTATTAAATTTCAAAGAATAAATTGCGTCGCGGTCACCATTGGAAAGAGGACGAAAAAACCTTTCAGAAACATATTCTAAAAAATTTTTCCCATTACAAGTATGTTCAAAAAAAATTCACAAAGTAGCCGGTGTTGGCAAAATTGGTCAAATTGACCCCCCCCCCCCTCTACCCCCTCCAATTTTTCGAAAAAATCAAAAATATTTTTTGGGTCTCATTTCTACTTGATTGAACAACAAATTCCTCGAGTTTCAATTTTTTTCAAGAAGTTGAAATTTCATCTTAGAAAATTTCACTTAAAATGCCTCATATATAGTGTTGGAATAGCCGATTAAAGTGTAATCACTTTAAAAAAATTTTTTGTATAAATATCAATTTTTGATACTATTTTTTCAAATGCGTTTTTCTCAAAACAGGATTTTTAAAATTGCCGTGCAGTGTAACTCAAAAAGTTATTGACCGATTTTAAAATGAAAAATTGGAAATTGTTCGTTATTAAATTTATTATTAAGGGAACTAAACTTAAAAAGAAAAAAAATTTTTATTCCCTTTTAAAATAAAAAAGTTGCAAAAAAGTAGGCAAAAAATCGAATTTTTTTTAAGTAGTGTCAATTTTTCAATTTTTAATATTTTCACTTAAAAGTTAATTCACTTAAATAATAAAATATTTATAAAATATGAATAAACTTGATTTTTTGCTTTCGGACAAAATTTGTGGGCTCAGGACTGCACGGCAGTCATGAACTTCGGCGGAGCAGCTCTATATGCAATAGCTCCCAATTTGGAAGATTTTTGATATAAACGCTTATAAAAAATATGAGTTACAGTTAAATATAAATGAACAACATAGTGGAAATGTTTTATTTCATTCAAAAAAATTCTTACTTTAAAAAAAAATTCGCGAAAAACGGCAAAAAAACAGCGTTTTAATGTGGTTTCCCCCCTTAACTGACTAATATTCAATTTTTTTTATTTTATAAAAATTTTGTATTTTTTTATAAATTTAAATTTAAAAATAAATTAATATAAATAATATAATTTTTTAATTTTTAAACTTTATTATAAAAATGTTTTTTGTGTAAAAAAATTAGGAAGAATAGTGTTGTATTATTATGATTACTATGAGTAAAAATGAAAAATTTAAAAAAAATTTTATATTGTAAATGTTTTGAAAAAGACAATTTTTGTTTTAGCTTGATACTTTTTTAACCAGAAATGGCCAAGCATTTAAGTTAGAATAATACATAAAATTCTGTCATGTTTGGCTTTTTCATTTACATATTTACTTGTAGATTTTAATGTTAAATACTATTAGCATTAATTAATACAATTAACATTAATTGTATTAAAATAAACTGAATGCTTATTTCAGCTTTATCCAAAGAACATTAAAACATGTAAAGTATTTCCAAAATTATATTAATTTTACTAAACAAGACAAAGTCAAGAAATTTTTTAATGATTTTGGAAAGTTAATTAAATTTCACTTTTAAGTTTAATTTTTGAATACTTATATTGAGTTTTAGTGTCTTAGACGGGAAAAATGTTAATTAATACATTTTGCAAAATGAAAAAATTATTTATAGCACTAAAATGTAGCATTTACATAATTTTTGCAGATAGTGTACAATTAATTAAAATTGATTTAATAAATGGTAATATATCATTAATTAGAGAATAATTTAATCCCAACAAAAACATCTTTGATGTTTTAATAATGGGTTTCGACCCAATAAGGAAAAAAACATTTTTTCCCAATAAGGGAAACTTTTAAAAAAAAAAATTTTATTATTAATGTAATTTGGTGTTAAAGTTTTAGATCATTTTATTTTCATGTTATTATTACTTTGAAACAAATAAAGAAACCGCTGCCAAGTTGTATATTTTTTTATAATTTTGGTGCGCTCATTTCATGAACACTTTGCTTCCTCATAGAAATAATAATACTAATAGGAAAATATATGAATAACTATTTATAAATATGGTAAAAGTGATTGAATCTTGGGTCAATCAATGTATTTTTAAATACTCTACAATATAGTTATAATAGTTTAATAGTTAAACAAAAATTTTCAAACAAAAAAGTTGAGAAAATGTCATTTTCCACAATTTTTGGTTTTTAAAATACCAATAATTTCGAAATTTATTATCGAATTAGGTTCAAAAATAAGTCAATCGAATCGTT